TATTTTCAATATTGTACCCGCAAATCTATCTACTAGAGCCAACTAATGTAAAAAATGTGCTAGATGTTCGTCCACATTAGCTTTTGTTAACGGGAGTTAATTGAAGGGACACAAAATGTGGGTGAAAAAAATTATGAGAAACTTTGTTTAAAGAAAAAATTGGAGGACTAAAAATGAACTTTGATATATTTAGTAATTTTTTAGTTCGGGCAAAGACCAATTGATTCAGACATCATATTTTCAATATTGTACCCGCAAATCTATCTACTAGAGCCAACCATAATTAATTCTCATGACTGATACCATCATTATTATGGAAATTAGTATCAAGCATTCAACTTTAAGAAAAAAAGTGAAGTGTCGTTTGTAGACATTTTAAGCTATTTAATTTATTATTAAACATGTTTGAAAAAAATGCGACTTGATTTACATCAAACCCTAATTCCTCTGAACTTTTCTCTCTTTTCACTCATCCTTTTTAGGGGGTGATTTTTGGTCATTTTTGGCTTGAAATCACCCCTCAACACCGTTTTTCTCCCTATTTAAATTTAAATAAGTGGTTATCCACATATATTTGCTTCTTCTTTTTTGTTTTTTTAAGTTTTCGTCATTTTGTGCGACGTTTGTTGAATTTTTCGTCTTAGTACGGTATTCGTTGGTTCAATTTGACATCTTCACTTCAATTCATTACAGATCTGATGAAGACTTGAGCGTCAATGTTGCAGATCCGTAAGTATGAATATTCTTGTTACTTTTATTTTGTCAAATTTGTAGGCATTTTTATGTTGCTGTTGTAAGATTGTTTGTAAATTCACCTTTTCCAGTTTTTAGGTATCTTGAATTTGTAATGATCGATGTATTTTTCGATTAGAATGAATGAATGTTTTTTAGTAAAAAAAAGCTATTTAATTTGTTACTAGAAAATTATTAGTGGAAAAAATACTCATTTTGGTCCCTTAACTATAGGGCATGATTCATTTTGGTCCCTTATCTTTTTTTCGTGCTAAATTGGTCCCTTAAGTTTCAAAATGCAACAACGTTAGTCTTTTTGTTAGCTGGGCTCAAACATTGTGAAATTATCGTACGTGGCAGGTGCGCTGGTCAATAGCTTCATCTTCTTTATATGTTACAGGAGACGTTTTCCTCTTCTCCATCTTCCTTATATACTTCATCTACTCTTCATCTTCTCCATGATACGTTTTCCTCTCCCTCTCCATATTGTTCATGTCGTTTCGTCAATTACTCATGAATACGAAGCAGTCTTCCTCGCAAGCTAACATGAAGAAATCTGAAAGTATTGATTCATGTGTTTACAGTGGCTCGCGAATTGCACCATTATGTCTTTGTGGAGATAAAGTTGTCATGCGTAGGCAACTACTGAAAAGAATTTTGTAAAGAAATTTTGGGGTTGTCACAAAAAGAAATTTGGCACAAAAAAAGAAGATAAGAGACCAAAGTAAACCATGACCTATACTTAAGGGACCAAAATGAGTATTTTGCCTTATTAATGTAATGTGCTAATGAAACATAGAGTTGGGAACAACCTTTGTTACCATACTAACTAAACTAACTAATAAAATATTCAAAATCCTTTGTGTTCATGTTAGATATTTTTAAATTTATTATGAAAAAATTGTTAATATAGTGTTTATAATTGAACCTATTAATAACATAATTTTTTTTATAATATTATAGAAAATTAATTAATTGTCATAAATTTTTTATTCAATTTTTTTAATGTATCATATTCATATCAATACAAATCAAAACAATTTATTGTTCTTTGGTTTGGTTCAATTTAAGTATTATTAAAAAAAATATAAATCAAATTCAAACCAATCTATATATTCTAATTGATTTGGACATCAAATTCGTTAAAAATCGAATCAACCCGATTAGTGAACACCTCTTTTGAACTCTAATTTCTCCCAAAATAATTTAGAAGGAAAAAATACAACCGCATACACTAAATAAAAATAGAACAAAACATTTTGAAATATTATTAAGGAGAGTGCCCTGGGTCCAGATGGTTTTGGAGGTGTTTTTTTCATACTTACTGGAACATTATTAAAACTGATGTGTTCAATGCAGTTTGGAAATTCTTCAGGGATGGTTGGATTTCAATCAAATTCAATGCTAATCTTATTACTCTCATTCCTAAGTTCAAAGAGGTTGATTCTATGGATAGTTTTAGGCCCATCGCCCTTGCCAACTTCAAGTTTAAAATTATATCAAAAATCCTAGCCGATAGACTTTCTTGGATTATGTTGTTTCTTGTGTCTAAGGAGCATAAGGGTTTTATCAGAGGGAGGAATATTAAGGACTGATTATGTCTTGCTTCTGAAGTTGTTAATCTCCTTGATGGGAAAACTTTGGGAGGTAACGCCGCTCTTAAAGTTGATATCACCAAAACCTTTGATACTATTAATTGGAGTTTCCTCATCATGGTTCTTAAGCGTTATGGTTTCAATGATACTTTTTGCCACTAGATTTCTACTATTCTGGATTCTGCCTTTATGTCTATTGCTTTAAATGGTTCAACTCATAGCTATTTCCCTTGTAAAAGAGGTGTCCGACAGGGTGATCTGCTATCCCCTCTTCTCTTTTGTCTCGCTGAAGATATTCTTAGCAGACACATCTCTTCCTTGGGGAATCAGGAAGCCTTATCCCCATGAAAGCCAACATAACTCATAACATCCTAACCCATATCCTGTACGCGAATGATATCCTCATATTCTGCAAAGGGAAATCCTCTAACATTTTGGCTCTTAGGAATCTGTTTCAAAACTATTCTCTTGCCTCTGGTTAATCCATCAATGCTTCCAAATCAACAATTTATTGTGGTTCCATGTCTAACAGGAGAGCAACCATCTCTCTTTGCTCACGGGTCTCAATAGAGGTAGCTTACCGTTCAACTACCTCGATGTTCCTATCTTTAAAGGTAGAGTCAAGCACACTCATTTTCAAGCCTTAGCGGATAAAATGATTTCTAAGATGGAGGTCTGGAAAGGTTCTACACTTTCGTATGCTGGAAGAGTTACTCTGGTTGACTCAGTGATTCATAGCATGATATACCACTCTATCTCCATCTATTCTTGGCTCGTTTCCCTGCTTAGAGAGATTGAAGCTGCCTCTCGGAACTTCATATAGGGTGGTAATGTTAACTTTAGGAAACTAGTAATTGTGGCTTGGAGTGAGGTTTGTCGTCCTAAATCTAACAGTGGTCTCGGTTTAAGATCCCTCATTGTGCTCAACAATGCTTCCAATCTAAAGTTATGTTAGGATAGTTTAAATAGTGATGATGATTGGGAAATTTTTATTAGAGTTAGAATTCTGAGGCGTTTCAGCATAATTAGACATCATATTTTCCCGTCCATTAGGAGTGGTATTCACCCGGAGTTTCCGTGTCTAACTGCTAATATCTCTTGGGTTCTTGGTAATGACAATAAGATTAAATTTTGGAGAGATGTTTGGTGTGGCACTCCTTTGCTGTAAAAAACAGATCCTCGGGTTCTTGTGTCTCATGACATTGATATTGATATTCAGATTTGAGAATTGTTGGTCAATGGCAGTTGGATCATCCCTGCTTTTTGGTACACATTATTCCCTTTCCTTCACTATGATATTTCATAGGATTCTAGTTTGCTTAATACTCCTGACTTGATGATTTGACACAAGGATAATGACGACAAGCTCTCCTTGAAAGAAGCATACAGATTCAAGGATTCCCAATCTCCCAAAGTGGATTGGGCGAGTAAGATTTGGAATGCTGACATTGCCCCTTCAAAAGCTTTACTGACTTGGAGACTTTTAAATGATAAGATTTCTTCGGAAGACGCACTGCAAATCTGAGGTTGTAATCTTTGTTCAAGGTGTAGTATTTACAAAAGTGATTGTGAAACGACAGATCATTTATTCTTCTATTTCCCTTATATGGTTAAGCTGTTGAGATGGCTATGTGGCCTTTTAAACTATTCTCTCACGATCTCTTATGTGAAATCAGTTTGGGAGCTTTGTAAAACATGGGAGTCTCCTCAAGGCTCTCTCATCATCTCGACTACCATCGTGTATACGATTGTTATCATCTGGCATATTCGAAACGGGGCCAAATTTCATAATAAAATTCGGCCTCTTCATTCTAGCATCTCCTCCATTTTGGCGCAAGTCCGCTTACTTGGTAACAATAATTCCTTTTGTGCCTCTTCGTCCATGTCGGAGTTTTGCATTCTTAAGTCATTCAGGATTAACATCAACTATCCTCGGGCCCCTAAAATTATTGAGGTGCTTTGGCATCCCCCTGCTTTAGATTAGGTTAAATATAATTGTGACGACTCCTTCGAGAATAATTCTAGTGGTTGTGGTGGAATTTTCAGAAACTCTCTCTGTGGATTTTTTGTTAGCATTTGTCGAGCCTACTTCGGTTCCTAATTCCTTACATACGTAATTCTCTGCGGTTTTTAGAGCGATTGAGCTTGCTAGAGATAAAACATGGTTGTAGCTTTGGATCGAGAGTGACTCTTCCATTGTAGTTCAAGCTTTTTCAAATGATACTTTGATTCCTTGACAACTTAGAAATAGGTGGTTACGTTGCAAAACTATTATTGAAAAATATGTGTTTTGTTATTTCTCATATTATCGAAGGTAATTCTTATGCTGATTTTTTTGCTAACTTAGGCTATAATGCTCCCTCTCTTAGTTTTTTTAATATCATCCCTCTAACTATTAGATATGATTTTGTAAAAAAATAGATTGAAAGAATGCTTTTACTAATTTATTAACTCTTGAGAGGGATCTTGTCTAATCCTCCTTTTTGTATCCCACCTTTTCTATTATAATATTATAACCTTATTAAAAAAACTATAGTAAAAAAAAAAAAACACCAACTTTCTTAAATATAGTAAAAAAAAAAAACACCAACTTTGTTACATGGAGACAAGCCAACCTGGTTTTATGCTGGTGAAGGTGTACGATAATAATATCATTAATTAATATTAATTGTGTCTCTCTCTCTCTCGTCTAACCTGACGACTAGTCGATTACCATTACACCAGTCAACCTTCTCTCTCATGCTGGAATTTTCATTTTCTTTTTATTTTTCAAATCATTCAAAAAATCACTTTCTTCAATCAACTTTTTCAATTTCATTTTTTGTTTCTTCTCTCTCTTCTTCTTCTCTTAAGCTCATTCAATTCCAACTCTTATTACCATGCCACCACAACAATTTCGTCGCCCAATCAACTTCCATTCAACCCTATTTATCTGATTCCAAATTATTAACCAAAAAACTAGGTTTTTGTTTTGTTCACACAGGTATGTTTTTTTTTTTTTGTATTCATAATCATTAACTCACTGTTTTTTTTTCTTTTCTCGATTTGTTTCATAATTAACACTCTTTATTCATTTTGTTTCTCTATTTTCCTTAATCATCACCTTACTACTTTCTATTTTTGATTCATTAAAACACCCCCTACAAAATTGGTTAGATAACTTCCATGAAAATAATAAACTGAACTAAATTAAGAGAATTTGTTATTCTCAGTAATTTTTATGATATGATTCTCAATTATTGAATCCATTTGTTGTCTAATTTCTTGTCTCTCATTGCATTGGATAAGTTTTTACTATTTACTAACCAGTTCCTAATTATTGGATTATTCACTAAATTATCATAATTATGGAAGTTGATAGTAGTATTAAATTTAGTCACAATTGTTAATTTTAAACAAAATTTAGGTTTTAGAAAAACGGTCCGTTACTCCAAAAATGGCCGCGACAAAGTGGCTTTTATCTTAAGGTTCTGATACCGATACTCTTATTCAACGTTTTTATGATAAAGAACAAATTATGATTAATTCACACCATGACAGCTGCAATCAGTGTTACAATATTTGTACCTACCGAAATTGCGAAAGCTTTTAAATGATCACGACCGTTATTTAAAACCTCAGGATAGAGAATTAGTGTAGTTTAGTATGTTTCAATCACAGTATCTATCACATGTTTATGAAAGAGATGTAACATGATTAATGCTATATTGATAAAGAAGTAATTAATGCAATTGAGAATTTGAAAGGTTGGAAAAATGTGTCTTATATTTATGGACAGAGGTAAAATGAAGTAAGGATCTGAGGGATTTTGACTTCGTTCGATTCATGTTTGGACTTTTGCTTGAAGTATCATTCTTCTGGTTGACTTCTGAAACAGTTTACTTCTGTTTTTATATTGTTGTTCTTTGTGGCTGACAGTTAGATAACTGAAGATATGATGTCTGGAAGCTGGGATGGAAATAATGACCCTGGTAGCCAATCGGATGATAGCTTACTTTTCGAGAGGTTGCACATTGAGCCTATATATGATGCTTTTGTATGTCCTTTGACGAAGCAAGTTATGCGTGATCCTGTTACTTCAGAAAACGGACAGACTTTTGAGCGTGAAGCAATCGAAAAATGGTTCAAGGAATGCAAGGAGAGTGGACGGAAACTGGTTTGCCCGTTGACTCTCCGAGAATTAAAAAGCGCAGAGTTGAATCCTAGTTTGGCTTTGCGGAACACCATTGAAGAGTGGACTGCGAGAAATGAAGCTGTACAGCTGGATATGGCTCGTCGTTCGTTGAATACTGCGGGTCCTGAAAAGGAAGCCCTTATGGCTTTGAGGTATGTCCAGCACATCTGTCGAAGAAGTCGGTCGAATAAACATATTGTCCGCAGTGCAGGGCTCATACCGATGATTGTAGATATGCTGAAGAGTAGCAGCCGTAAAGTTCGTTGTAGAGCTCTTGAAACACTTAGAATCGTGGTCGAGGGAGACGACGAGAATAAGGTTGTTGCAGGTTTGCTAGTTATCATTTCATTTCCTTTTATAGTTTTTTCGGTATCATCAGTGGCACTGCCTTTGGAGATTCCTATTAACATCTTCTCTTTGCTCAAAAGGAACTGCTGGCTGAAGGGGACACTGTGCGCACGGTAGTAAAGTTCCTTTCTCACGAGCTTTCTAAAGAAAGAGAGGAGGCTGTCTCCTTGCTCTATGAACTTTCAACCTCTGAAACCCTATGCGAGAAGATTGGTTCAGTCAATGGATCTATTCTTATATTAGTTGGAATGACAAGCAGCAAATCAGAAGACGTATCCACTGTTGAGAAGGCTGATAAAACATTGGAGAATCTGGAAAAATATGAGAATAATGTGCGGCAGATGGCTGAAAATGGTAGATTGCAGCCTCTTTTGACCCATCTTCTTGAAGGTACTAATTCTCCTCTATAATTTATATCACATCGTTTCCTTGTTGTGTGGTTAATTTTCTCACTGTTACATGTTAATTCTCAAAAGAGCAGCATCAACTGCTAGACCAGCGTATACGCATATATTGTTGTAAAATTGGTGTGCATATTTGTCCTCCTTTTGGAATCATGTTGAATATTAAGACTTTAGGCCTTAAAAATTTGGGTAAAAAAGTCATTAGTATATAATATGACAGTTAGTTATATATGGTTTCTTAGTTGAGATGAAAGATGAGGGCCTCGTATCTTCATTTTCTTAAACTCGGCCCTTGTTATAGACAAAATAGATTTTTATTTTATTTTAAAAGGCCTTATGTTAAACTATTATTATTGGTAGTAGTAGAACCTGGTACAAAACAGAGAAATTTAATAGTTGTTACAACGAGTTCTCGAGAAATTCGTGAGTTTTGGATCTCTCCCTTCCAAGAGTTAAAGAGCTTGGTCTCTCTTTCCCATATAACCACTTTTTAATTTTTTCGGATGACCCACATCAACCTACAGTTTAAGTGGGGTCGGCTAAATGGATCAAATAACGTCATAATGTTAGATAATATATCATTCTCTATCCAATCTGTTAATCTTTATATCTTTCTTATTAGTTTCTTTTATTGTTTTTTTCGGTCTTGAGTCTGCCTCAACTAATTTGACTACTCTCCATCTATTTTATTTTCCTTACTATAAAATCTCCAAGTCTTCTTTCAACATGTCCAAAGCACCTAAGACGAGTTCTCTCCAACTTTCTCTCTAATGTGGTAATTTCTAATCCTATCATGTTCAATCTTACCACACATCCAACACAACATCTTCATCTCATCTCCGCTAAGTTTATTTTACTCTCATGTTGGCTCTTTACCACTCAACACTCCGTGTCATACAACTATGTGGGTCTTACAGTTGTTCCTGTATGATAAAAATTTCTTTCAATTTTAGTGGTACGTTTGTATCACATAAAACACCCGGTGCCCTCTTCCATTTCAACCATTCCGTTTGAATTTAGTGGTTTACATTCTTCATCCTTTATACATTTCATTTGGTCCAAGTCTCTTGTCTCACTTCTCCGCTCCTTAGCTAGCCCATATAAAGATTTTTCTCCCTTCTTGATGGCTAAGGATTGGCATAACCCATCAAAAGTTTTAGTTCATGCTTTGTCCACCGCCTTCATAGTCTCTTTATTAGCTTCTTTATATTTTTCTCAACTTTCAGCATTTCTACACTAAGACCAAGCTTTAAAGCATTTCCTTTTTGTTTTAATTTATCCTATACACTTTCATTCCACCACAAAAATTCTTTACCCCTAGATCTGAAACCTTTTGACTCCCCTATTGTCTTTTTTGCTACTTTTTCGACCCCCGTGTCTTCTGGTTCCTGTTAGGATATTGGTTTGGGCATATCCTAACAGTTCCACACAAAATTTCCTAGATGCTCCTCTATTTTCCTAAAGAACGTATTAGCTCTAGTAAGATCAAAAGCCGACGAAAAATTTAAGATGGATTTATCTTCCATATTTACCTTCCCGGGGACACATCCCCCATGTAAATCGTTAAAACCTCTTGATTCACTCCCTACTCGCCCATTTAGATCCTATTCTCTCCTAGAAAAATCTATTTCTGCCAGAGGCATATTTTGAATTAAGCCTTCTAAATCCTCTCAATACTTTACTTTAATGTGTTCTTCTAACCCTACATGAGTGCATAAACACTAATAACATTAATGTATCTTGTTCCACTATAAATTTTAGGGATGTCATCCGATCTCTTAACTTTATTACATCCACAATATGGTTCTTTCACCCCTTATCAACAATAATGCCTACTCCATTTCTCGACCTAACTTTGCCAGTGTACCAAAGCTTAAAACTCGAATTGTCTAAGTCTTTTTCCTTTTCACCCACCCGCTTAGTTTCTTGTGTGCACATACTCTTAATCACATTGTTCACTATTTCCATAGATTTTCCTGTTAGTATGCCTATGTTTCATGTTCCAAAACAAATTTTACTCTCATGAACTGACTTCTTTACTCATATTCATTCACAAAGATCTGAGAACCCTTGCTTATTTTTCACTACATCCTAACGACGATGTAGTGGCTCTTGCTCAATTTACATTGTATTCAAGCTATACAACGCATTGCTTTCAGGCAGCAACCTAGCTAGCATTCACATTATAACATATTTGATCCATGTCATAGAGATTCAACTAAGTTTTACGTTGACTGTCATCTGTCTTACACAATCCTCTCCTTTTATCCGGACTAGAGACTGATTATGCATAACAAAGAAATATTAGAGAATGCAATACTATTAACGTGAATTCAATGGGAATTTAAGTGCGTGCACTCTAGACCCCTTAACGTGGTTATCGGTATGCGATGAACATGCCAGTTAATGTGAATCTCTATTATGTATCACAATTCATTCTTATAATTCACAACTTGAACGTAGTTTAATTAGTCAGCTATTTCAGTTTCTGCCAACTTTGTATAGTTGGTTACTTTTCTGTTGCCATTTGATTTGCAACTCAAATCCTAAATTATTTTGAGGTTTGTATATGATATATTAGCTTATCCTTTGCTATGTCACTTGTTTTTACATAAAAATGACTTTTTTTTTAATTGTTCGTGTATTTTATGATCCATAACAATAAGTCTTTGATTTACAATTTGAATCTCAACTTGATAACGATGCCCCTAAATATTTTGGATCAAGATGTAGCATTTGCTTGTAGAATTCCTTACTCCTTTGTAGATATTAATCCATTATCTTGTTTTTCTTTGAAATTTTTGCAGGTCCACCAGAAACCAAACTGTCCATGGCTGGAATCCTTGGTGAGCTTGTTTTGGATAATGATGTTAAAGTCTTTGTTGCTAGAACTGTGGGAGCGTCTCTGATTGATATCATGAAAAGTGGCAATATGCAGTCAAGAGAAGCTGCACTGAAGGCACTAAATCAGATATCGTCATGTGAGCCAAGCGCGAAGGTTTTATTAGAAGCTGGAATACTTTCTCCTCTTGTCAACGACCTCTTTGCAGTGGGTCCTCA